AGGTCACTGACCTGCACATGGTGAGCTATTTGCAGTCCCCCTGCCATGTAGCTGGCTCCTTCTGCACCTCTGTAGAGGAATTTAAGAACTTTTCTTAACTTAAAGCAGAAGTCAGCTGGGCTTTGGCAAAGCTGCTGCAGATAAAGCCACAGCAATCTGTCTAAAAGCTGCTGTGTAACAACTGGAGTCCCTGGGTGGCACAGACAGTTAGGTGCTCAGCTGCTGATTGAAATGTTGGAGGTTCAAGTCCACCCAGAGGTGCCTTGGAAGAAAGGCCTGGACATCAGCCATTGTAAACACTGTGGAGCACAATTCCACCCTGACACACGCGGGGGCGCCCTGAATTGGGATCAACTGGATGGCAGCTGGCTTTAACTGGTAGTTATTTCTCAGCTTCTGAGCATTTTTGCTTTTTTATATCCTGGGTAGGTATGAGACTGGAGGTGGAAGAGACGTTCTGAAGCATACTGGCTCCCAGTCTCATACAGTCTTCCTCAGATTGGCCAGGGCGGTTGGCAGAACATTCTGTAAAAAGTGGAACTGACTGTGCTTTTTCTGACCATTCCAAAGGCTACAAATACCCAAAGCTACAAATGTGCAGCCTGCACACTTGCTGGTGTGTTCCCCCACCCTCCTTTCAGAGAGCTGAGGCCAACCCTGAGGAGTTCTGCCAGCCGATGGGTATCTGGGCCTGTGAGCACAGTTGAGTGATTCATTGTGTATCGGGCTGGGCGAGGCCAGGAGCAGGGTGGATGTGAGCTCTGTGGCAGCCACAAGAGGACGATTTTCTCCTCTGAATGCAAAGTGCAGCAGAGGTGCTGTCCTCACGGCTACCAGCTGGAAGTGTGGACCACAGATGTGGACTGCGTATCCAGGAGTGTGATGTGTTTGCTTTTCTTAGGACAGGGTGGGGGAGGCGGTGGGGCTGGGAGGAAGACCAAAAATAAAAGAGCATTTCAGTTGGTTAGTTAGGGAAGTCAGCAAGGGGAGAATTGACTTCCTTCCTTGAATTGCTAAGAATGTTGACATAGTGTCTCAAAATGACTCTTAACTCCTGAATTTTATTTGGTGCCTCTTTATTGAGTGTCTGATAGAGTTCCTAAAGGGGCAGTTGGTGAATCAGTGGTAGAACCTTTGTAAAACAAGGAAGGCATTGGAGGTTCAGTGGTAAATTCTCACTTTCCATGTGGGAGACCCGGGTTCGATTCCCAGCCAGTGCACTTCATGCATAGTCACCACCCATCTGTCAGTGGAGGCATGCGTGTTGCTGTGACACTGAGCAGGTTTCAGTGGAGCTTCCAGACTTATGCTTTAAAACTGAGCTTCCAGACAGACTAGTGATGATCTGCTTCTGAAAATCAACCAGGGGAAACCCCATGGCTCACAGTGGTCGCATCAGCAGCCGGTCATTGGGATGGTGCAGGACCGAGCAGCGTTCCCTCAGCTATGTGTGGCGCATCATGAGTCGGGGCCAACTTGAGGGCACCTGACGGTGTCAGCAGTGCAGTGCCTAGCAGGTATAGTGTGGGCTTCAGTGATCGATCAGGTCTGTAATCACTGAGGGTTGGGGAGAGGGGTGGGCACTGCTGTGAAAACAACTGTACAGAAGAATTTAATTAGGCTCCAGGAGCAGAGCTGGGAATGCTCTGGAAGTCCAGAGCGGAGAGGAAGGCCACATGGAGGGTTACTGGCTAGGAAACCGTCCTAGAATAATTACAAAATGGGATGTCATTTCAAACACATTTCGAAGAACCACATTCCCAGGTGGGAGAAAAAGGAAAGCAGTGGACGTTGCTTCTGTGAGCGTGCTGGCATGCGTTCAGCCCAGGCCCTCCTCTCCAGGGCGGGCGGGGTTCATCTTAGCTGGGCGCGTAGTCATTTCAGCCAGGGCGTGTTCAAACTCCTTTTCTCTTGTTGCCTCTTCTGGCAAGTTCGGTGCTCCTGGAACACAGGGACCAGAGAAGACAAGAAATGCATCCTCAGTAGCTTTAATGCTTAGTTTGTCATATACTGTGTGTGGGTGGGAACCAGGGTCAGTGTTTTTAACTATAAAAATATGTACAAATGGCTTGATTTTTAAACAACTTTATTGAGATAAAATTAATACACCATACATGTATCATTTAAAATGTACATTCAGTGGTTTTCATTAGATTCACAGAGATGTGCAAGCATTTCACAATCTAATTTTAGGACATTTTCATCATCCCAGAAAGAAACCCAGGGCCCATCAGCAGTCCATCTTCACTCCTCCAGTGTTCCTAGCTCTGAGGAACCACTAATCCACCCTCTGTGTGTTCCACAGATGTGCCTGTCAGACCATTTCATATAAATGGAATGGTATAACATGGTCCTTTGTGACAGAATCTTTGATTGAGCATCATGCTTTTGGGGTTCATTCATGTCTCAGAACTTCATTCCTTTTTTATTTTTGAGTGAAATTCAGTGAAATGGAAAGAATATTGAAAAATAAAATGTTCAATAAAATAAATTTCAGTAAAATGTGAATAATACCATATTTTTAATCCTTCATCATTAGTCAATGGACATGTGGGTTGTTTCCATTTTTCAGCTGTTGTGAATGTGCCACTGTGAACATTCATGTACAAGTTTTGAGTAGACGTATGTTTTCGTTTCTCTTGAGTGTATACCTAGGAATGGGATTTTTGGGTCATGTGGTAACTATATTTAACATTTTGAAGAACTGCCAAACCATGTTACATTGACACTTGCTGTTTTTGTTATGTGCCATCGAGTCGGACCCGACTCATAGCGACCCCTCCTCGGGTTTCCGAGGCAGTATCACTACGGAAGTAGATTGCCCAACCGTCCTTCCGAGGAGTGGCTGATGGGTTTGAACCGCCAGCCTTCTGGTTAGCAGTCAAGTGCCTTTAGGCACTATGCTACCAGAGCTCCTACGTTGACACTAGCCCCTGTTTTTGATTGTAGACATCCTAGTGGTTGTGAAGTGGTAGTATCTCTTTGTGGTTTTGATTTTCATTTCCCTAACAACTAAGGACATTGAGCATCTTTATTATGAGCATTGACCATATGCATATCCTCTTTGGAGAACCTCTGTTCAGATCCTTGGCCAGTTTTTTGAGTTATTTACCTTTTTATTATTGAGTTTCAAGAGTTCTTTATATATTCTAGATACGAGACCTTTATCAGCTGTAGAATTTGCAAATATTTTCTCTCATTCTGTGCCTTGTCTTTTCATTCTTTTGATGCTGTCCTGTGTTGCACAAAAGATTTTAATTTTGGTGAAGTCCAATTTATCTTTTTTTAAGCTCTGTGCTTTTTGTGTCATATCTAACCCAAGGTCATGAAGATTTACCCTTCTGTTTTCTCCTAAGACTCTTATAGTTCTACCTCTTCCATTTAGGTCTTTGATCCATTTTGAGGTAGTTTTTATACTTGATGTGAGGAAGAGGCCCCACTTCATTTTTTTGCATGTAGCTATCTAATTGTCCCAGCATCATTTTTGGTAAGATTCTTCTTTCCCCCTGAAATTGTCTTGGCCCTTTTTTTGCATACTGATTGAGCATGCCTGTAAGGGTCTATTGCTGGATCCGCTCTGCTCTCCCACTTGTCTATATGTCTGGGGGTCAGCATTTTTAAAGCTCCTTGGGTGATCCCACGTGTAGCTGAGGTGGAGAACTATCTGGCTGGGTAGGGAGGTGGAATGGTTTCATTGGGAAGTAACCCAACCCAGGGTTGCTGGGATATTTCAGTACAGGCTCTCAGACCATCCATTCTTCACAAACTTACTAGGTGCTTGTTAAAGGTACATGTCTGTCTCCTGCACACTGGGAAACCCATGCCTTGTCAGGGTGGAATGGGGTGTCTGTGGGGCCCCTCTACACAGACACTTCTCACTGACTGGTAAGACTCACCAGATACTTGTTAAGAGTAGATGTCTCACTCCAGACCCCTGGGGGGACACCGTGCCCTGTCAGGGTAGGGCAGGATTTTTGTGGGGCTCCTCTACATGGACACTTCTCCCTGACTGGTTGCCAGTTGACCAGAGCTTTCCGGAACCTGTGTATTTAGTGAGCTCTCAGGTACGTCTTACGATCAGGCTGGCTTGCTACTGAATCTGCTAGACCAGGCCATTAATGGAAACCTGTATATCTGCATTGCAGCTCTTCCACAGAACTGTTGTTCCCATGTTTCTCTCTGGGTGATCCCATCACTCTGTGTTAAGGGAGCATACAAGAAGCAGCCCTGTGGATCTCCTTGTTGCGTTTACTGTGAGCTCTTCACAGTTACTGCACTTGTATTACCTCAGGCCAAACCCACACAAAGACTTATACTCACATTTCTTGACCATCTACCTTTGTTTTATTTAAATTTCCTTAGAACTTATCGAGAATATTTATTTATTTATCTTTTCTGTCTGTCCACACTCGAGTGAAAACTTCTTGAGAGGAGGGATTTTCACTTGTCTTTTTAGTTTGCTGCCATACCTCCAGCTCCGAGAACACAGTCTGATACATAGTAGGCATTCAGTCAGTATTTGTTGAGTGAATGGAAGGGCCTGGAATGGTATTATTGAGGTTGGGGGATGAAGGAGGAGACTTCTCTATTTTAATGTTAGCAGGAATCATTCTGCTTTGTTTTTTTACCTTATGGTTCTGTGAATCCTGGAGATACGTGTTTCTCTCTGCGTGAGTCACTCGAAGATTCTCATCATATTTGTGTCTAGTCTCTAACAAGGGTATAGGACTGAGTGACTTATGTGTCATTTTCTAACCTCTTGTCTTGCTATTTTTTAACAATTAATCTTACCATACATTTCTGCAAGCTGTCTGGATCCTTTGGAAACCAGCAGGGTATAAATAAATGCTATTTGATCAGGAATGACACAGCATGCTGAATTTTATAATCATTCCTGTTGGTCTGGGAAATTAAAAGCACAGGTTTTAGGTGGGAAGAGGGGTGAGGGGAATTTTTCACAAGCACAAATTCTTTTCTCATTTCCTTTTTTTCTTTTTTAGGATAGAATTTTTGCGCCATTTGAAGAGCTTTTTCCAGATTATGTTTAAAATTGAAACCAAGCAATGTGGTGACGAGCTCAAGGGTGGGGATAAAGTGCTGATGACCTGTGTTGGTATTGGTTTCTCCAATCTTAGCAAGACCCTCAAATGATCTGATCACAGGATAAGGCCCCTGCACCTCCACACAAAGCCAAAGCTGCCAGGACACAAAGGGACCAAGTTCAAGTGCATTCATCGGGGATAGCCTTTTAGAGTGGGAACTTCCCTAATCTCCTGTTAAGAAAACCAGAACACATATGGCTACCAGCCGTTTCTCCAGTTGCATTGACAGTCTTCAGGAAGTCACGATCAGCATATCCTTGGCTTACCTGGAGGGGGAATATCTCAGGACACAGACACACCTGCTGGCACAGCATCACAACTGCATTGGAGTTGTGCTTCCTCAGCCCTACATCTCTGGACTTCGTCTGAGCCTCTGACTGTTGTTTCTGCAGGGACTTACTTCTTTGAGCCTTTCGTTTCTGACATAGGGCTTATATGACATAATATGATGAAAGCTCTTTTGTCAGTAGTGCTGTGTTATGCAGATGTCATACTGGTATATTGTACTCATATATCCCTTATCTTCTGAGTGGACTGCCATCTCGGCGACGGACACTGCCTCCCATCTGGTCATTGTGTGGTGGGGAGGGCGGAATTGGAGACAGCCAGCATCCAACTAAAGTTACTTCATGTTTTCCACGTGCCAGATGTGCTATCCAAAGCCAAACCAAACCCTCTGCCGTCAAGTCAATTCCAATTCATAGTAACCCCCATTAGGTTTCCAAGGCTGTAAACCTTTAACAAAAGTAGATTGCTCATCTTCCTCCCATGGAGCAGCTGGTGGCTTTGAACCACTGACCTTCTGATTAGCAGCCAGATGCCTCACCCACTACACCACCAGAGCTCCTTAGATGTGCTATGGATTTTCTTATTCTCACAATTCCTCTATGACAGATTTTATCTTAAGAATTTTTTAAAATATTTTGTTCCTTTGAATTTTTAAAGAACTAAATGAAACAGTGTTAGGGTCTGGGGTTTTCAACTACTTATGAGCTAATAACTATCCACTGTTCGTGGGTGCTGTGAGAAGACGACAGAAACAGAGAACTTTATGACCCACAGACAAGTGGCCTGAGTTTTCGTATGTCTGTTCCCCTCCCTTTGAAATGTCTCAGGGGCAACATGCAGGGGCCCCAGGTACTGCTGTGCACACAGTGGGTTGGCATTACAGCCTGGAAACAAGCAGTCTTGGGAGTTGCACGTCTTTTATAGTAAGAACGGTAAGTCTGCTCTATTCCAGGTAAAAACATTGTCTCCCTCAAGAGAGCCTGCTGCAAACATGATTCTGATGGAGCCTCACATTCTACATGGTGAACCCTTGACGAACTGCCTCTCCCGACTGATAGTGCCTTTATTTCCTGTGTGTTATGGGGCTGGAGTTGGCAGAAAGGGGCAGGTCTGTTTTTATCTACTGGGACTTCAAATGGGGTCTTCCATCTAGGATGGGCTCTTGATGTACAAAAAGGGCTTTGTCTCACCAGCCCTTCTTGGTACTACTTTTTTTTTTAAAAAAAGTGAAAGAGGACCAGAAAATCTGCTCTGATGTCTGAGGGTGTGGAATGATGTGGGTTGAGAGCTAATATTTAGAAAGGCTAGACCATGCTGAACCATGGCCCTATGCTGAGAGCTTTACATACCATAATTAGTTTTCTCTTGCTACCTAGTATGACCACAAACCGCGGGGCTTAAAACAACATTCGTTTGTTATCTCATAGTTCTGCAGATCAGAAGTCCAGGCAGGCTCATTGGGTTTGTGGATTAGGGTCTTATGAGGCTGAACTCAAGGTACTGGTCAAGGCAGACCTCTTATCTGGAGGGGCCAGCAGAGAATCTGCTTCCAGCTCATTTAAGTTATTGGCAGGGTTTGGTTACTTGAGGTCGAGGGACTGAAGTCCACATTTCCTTGCTAGCTGTCAGCTGGGGAAGACAGCTTCTAGAGGCTGACTACATTCTTTGTTCAGTGGCTCCCTCCTTCTGCAAACCAGCAACTGTGCATCAGATCCTTTTTGTACTTCAGTTCTGACTTCCTCTTCTGCTCCCAGCTGGAGAAAACTGCTTTTCAAGGACTCTTGTTCCCTTAGTTCCATCCAGATACATCCAGCTACCATCAAGTCGATTGACTCATGGTGACTTGATGAGTGTCAGAGTACAACTTTGCTTCTAGGTTTTCAGTGTCTGGTTTTTTGGGGAAGCAGATTGCTAGGACTTTCTTCTAAGGAGCCTTTGGGTAGACTTGCACTTCCAGACCTTTTGGTTAGCAGCTGAACATGTTAACTTTGTACCACCTGGAGACTCCACCCAGAGAATATCCCTATTTTAAGGTCAACTGATAAGTAACCTTAATTACATCTGTAAATTCCCTTCACTAGATTAGTGTTTGACTAACCAGAGGCTGGGAATTTTGAATGGCCATCTTATAATTTCTGCCTACCATACATACTGCAAATTTCCTTAGTGCTGCTGACATTTGAGCCCAGATCTACCCACACACATCCAGAACTAAGGGGCCACATTGCATTTGGACATGCCAACTGCTATCCTACAGGGGCCTTCTTGGAACAGGCTCTGGATATGGTGCTGTGAGTCAAATTCAAGTGGTGTGTAGAGTCCAGGCAGTTTATTGCAAACAGTAGAGGGGACTATGCCCTTCCAGCTGCAAACATGGGACGTGTCTTGTGGCGTCTAGCCCTCCATCTGGCACATCTCCTTCTGGGGTTGGAACATCTGGCAGTAGGGTAGTGATGTCAAAGGAAGATAAATTTCTGTTTATTGAAACAATCAGCTTCAGGCTCCTTGTATTCCCAAGAGAGGCAGTGCTGTTCCTTTGGCTGAAGCCATTTAGTGCTGGTTGAAGGTACATTTGAAGGTACATTTTAGTGGCTCTTGCAACCCCTGCCTTGTTCTTAGTTTAGTTTCTGGTGGGTACAGCTACCTTTGTCTTGGCCTGTCTGCTCCCCTCTCCTGACAGGCAGCTGCTCTGGCTTACAGCAGTAATAGGTTAGTAGGACTGTTGTTGTTATAGGTGCCATCGAGTTGTTTTCGACTCAGTGAACCCATGCATAGCAGAACGAAACACCACCCGGTCCCACACCAGCTCCATGATTCCTGCTATACTTGAGCCCATCGTTGCAAGCCACCATGTCAATCCATCTCGTTGAAGGCTTTCTCCTCTTTTGTCGACCCTCCACCTTACCAAGCATGACATCCTTCTCTAGGGAATGGTCCCTTCTGACAACATGACCAAAATAGGTGAGACGAAGTCTGGCCATTCTTGCTTCCAAGGAGCATTTCAGGTGCACTTCCTCCAGGACAGAGACGTGTTAGGTCTTTTAGCAGTCCACGGTACTTTCAGTATTCTTCACCAGCACCACAACTCAAAAGCATCGGTCTTCCTTATGCATTGTTCAGTTCTCACATGCATACGAGGTGATTGGAAATATCATGGCTTGTGTCAGGAGCACCGTAGTCCTCAAGGAGACATCCTTGCTCCTCAGCACTTGAAACAGTTCCTTCACAGTTGACCTTCCCAGTGCTACACGTCATCTAATGTCCTGACTGCTGCTTCCATTGATTGTAGAACCAAGCAACACGAATTCTTTGACAACCTCAATCTTCTCTCCATTTTTCGTGATGCTGTTCATTGGCCCAGTTGTGAGGATTTTTTTTCTTTATATTGAGACATAATATAAATAATACTGCAGACTGTATTCTTCAACCTTCATCAGTAAGTGCCTCGAGTCATCCTCACTTTCAGCAAGCAAAGTTGCATCGTCTGCATATTTCAGGTTGTTAATGACTCTTCCTCCAATCCTGATGCCA